GATCTCTGGACAGGCATTCTATCTTGTCTGCTGTAATTCTGCCAGTATCTTCAGTGCTGATTCCTTCCATCCATCAAGAGCTTTCCCTCTTTTGGAAGACACAAATAGATGTGCAGTGTAGGGGTTAACAGCCACTAAAATTAACATACTCTCAAAACCATAAATAACTTGTTCTGAAAATTTGAATAGCTAACTTAGGCAGGAAATCAAGTTCCACATATTTAACTTCAGCATTGTTAATCAGGACTTTTGAAAGAAAATTAATATTTTCCCAGAGATTAAAAGCAAATTCAGTCTTTTTGAAAATCAGGGGGGTTTATTCATTTCAGTTCTGAGTGAAATGAGACTGGTAGAACTAACTGGAATTGGAATAATGAGTGCAAATTCTGAAATGTTTTTGCAGAGCAGTTTTGTTATCTTGCCATGTAGTTTCTCTGGTATTTCAATAGACACTTTTCAATAGGCACAACAGAACACTGTGGATAGTACTGAATAGTTCTAAATTATGATTTGAGGATGTTAAATTCTGACTACTTGTAGCATTTCACATGAAAAATTTGAGCATCAAATAAAAGCATCACTCTAGTGAAGTGGCAGAAGGTTTTTGTACAGAATGATGAATTATGTCCAATATTTAGAACTAGTCTCTTCCATTACTTGTGTCTCTCTTCACGCTGAAGTTCTTTTTTTCCCCTGTTTCTGTCACTGAGGTAAAGACAGGTACTCTGCTTGTGTCTTGGACAGTGACTGCACGATTCAGTGACACCACACATGCAGGAGCAGTAACTGAGAGATGCACAGGAATTCCTGTGCCAGATCAGACTGATGGTGCCCACACTTCAGCACCTTTTCTCCCAGTTTCACACAGTTCTGGGTACCTGTACATCTGCATCTGATGGGTTTGCACCTCAGCATTTAGGAGACCTGCAGCCGGCGCTGTGACAGTCCCTCTGAAGTGTCTGTCATTCCAGGAGAACACAGAAGGGGCTTTTCCACAGGAACAGGCATTTCTCACGCCTCTGGGGCGCCGTCAGCCTGGTGCACTCACTGGGTTTGCTGCTGGCTGCTCACACACAGCTTGCCTTCAGTTTTGTACCTCAGGCTCTCAGTTACCACTCCTCACTTTAATCAGCTACCAGGGCGTGCCAGAAGTTCTGGGCATCACAAAGGTTTCCTCCTTTGTTTCTTCACATCACACATTTTGAGCTTGCTGATGCATCCCCACCTTTTTTTTGGTGGAATCATGGGCTGCAGCTGCCAGCAACATTGTTCTGCTGGAGTTTGGAAATATAGTTAGATTTTTAATTAAAGGAACTGTTAATGCCTCCTGGTTTAAAGAGATGTCTAGCATGTGGAATAGGAAAAAAAAAAAATCAAACTGGAGAAAGCAAAAACGCAGCTGTGGCCACACAAGACATCATAAGCACTTTTTGGTGGTGTGAGCTCAGAGATGGCACCTGGTGAAGACTGTCACTCTCTCATGCATGGCCTGAGGTAAAGAGTGAGGTGTTCTGCACCACGGAGCTCCAGTCCTGCCTTTACACGTGTGCAAACTGTGCTGTTGCCAGTTCTGCAGGGAAAGCTGGTGTGTGTGTAGGTGTGGCGGGGGGGTAAATTTCATTTCAAGGGCTCATCTCTGAACAGTTCTACAAGCTAAGCAATGTGAACCTAATATTATAATTCCAAGGGGACTCTTGTGCTGTGTGGTAAAATTGCTTATTAAGTTACAATCACAAAAAAAAATCAGGAGATAGGCACTGTTCAGCTGGCAGCATACAGGGAAAAAAGGCTGAATTCTAATTATTTGAACAGTGGAGTTAGTGCTATTTCACTGTGTGAAAACAAAATTAGGTTATCACTGATATCATTATTAATGTATGAGATGAAGCAGAAAAACAATTTGTTTCCTAACACCCATTCTGCCCCTCCTCCCACCCCTCCACAAAAAACAACAAAAAAAAAAAGATAAAATAACCTAAAAGCAAAAAGGGCTTTCTAACACAGGCAGCTCTGAGCAATCTCATTGCTATAGCAGCAAAATGTAGATGATTTATAAATTATCTTAATTTGAAGGTAAGGCGTTGTGCAAACAGTAAATATTACATTTATTATTTCCCCAGTTAGGTTAAAATATGAAAAGGCATATCCAATATCAGTAACACTGTTTATTACTCTAATCAGAAACAGGAAATATATTTTCAGCCACTCTAAACTTTAGGTGTTCTTTCATTATGCATGAGCAGCTATTACTACTGCTCAGTCATACATGTTCCTTAAGGTACTCATATTGCAATCTCTACCTTTTGAATGCCTTTCAAATAAATAAAACAATTTTTTTGCATAAAAAGTTATACTGCAACCATAGTTAAGTATTGAAATTCGCATTTTCATTAATATAACACATTAATACATGAGATGAACCATTGTAAAAATTTTAGAGATTTTTAGAACCAGCATAAAAGTGTTTTATTTTACATTACAACTCTGAACACATCTTATGCCCTTGAATGTGAACTGCCTTGAATTTTGTTAAGATTCTGTTCTTCATTCTCATTTTCACACTCAATGAGCCGCTACTGTTTCAGTCCAGAAGGGATCAGTCAGTGAAGCTGTGTCATAAAGGTAGTTATAGAGTCTGATAAGATTCTTTAAAACGCATTTTTATTTTGCCAGGAGTCACAAATCTAGCTGCAAACACTGCTCAAGATGTGCCCTCTCTTTTGAGTATAATTTGAGAATACAAAATCAGATATAAGAAAAGGATATAGTGTAAAAATAGTTTTCCTGTTATGTTATCCATACTATGTTAATATATATGTTAAAAGTAAAATCTATAAATATCCAAATGCCTCTGATTCATGTGTATAGTTTTGCCTTTACCTACAACTAGATATTTAATTATTAACATAATAATTCCGTTAAAATTAAAAAATAATAAATTATTAATAAAACTCTCCAAAACAGGAATCTTTCTGAGGATGGAATTACATAAGTTTGATGATAAAATTTTTATAAGAACTAAACCAGATCCAGTAGAAAGGACAATGCCCATAATTCTGAGGTGTGAAAAGATATTTTTGAAGTATCTTTTACAGTTAGACCCTAAAACTCTCTTGTTTCTCAGATGCATCCTTTTGGTTTGTCTAAGGTGCATATTTGTGGCATTGAGTAGCTGATTTTTCCATTGTCTCAGGGAGCCTGGCCTTGCATATTCCATGAAAAGACCACTGAAACCAGACTGGGAGATCAAACACCAAGTGCTCTTACCCAATTTCTTTAGAGGGTACAAATAAATCTTTCCTGGAGAAGAGACAAGAAATCAGCCTGGCCTTTCCTTGGAGAACTTCCTGTTACAACTGTCTTTTGTCCCCCTGTTTCTTCACTCACACTCCCAAAAAGCATTTTTAATTGCTTCTCAAGTGGAACAGCTGTACCAGGAGGGGACCAAGAGCATCACACACTGCAGGGCTGGTGAGGGCAGGTGGCAGCAGGTGAGGCACAAAGTCTTTTGCATCTCTGATGCGCCAGATGAGTGATCTGACCACCAGGATAATGGATAAATAAAAGGCAGATAGTGAAGGTAGTTAGGCAAAAATACAAAAAATACCTTATTAGTGCTTAGATCAGTGAGTGATTTACCACACGTGAGGAAGCAAAGGCTTTGAAAAAGCAGCTGCAAAAGATGTAAAAATGTTCAAAGGACATCTTGGCCACTGTCATACAACATAAATGTTAACCATGCATTTTCCACCAGCAAGGAGAGCTTGGCTGAGTGGCACATTCCCTCAGACACAGAGCCTGGATTTGGAACAATTTATTGGTAGAACAAACAGCTTCTCAACCAGCCAAAGTCAGGCCTCAACAAGTCTCTGATAATTTTTCATACATTCAAAGCAAATTAGCAGAGATTTACATACTTGTTTTTAACTGTGGCCTCTCTTCATTGCCAAATGGATGTTCTACTTCATTTCCTCTTTTGTTTCAGTCAGAAATACAATTATAACACTGAGCAGAATCTATTACTGCTTGTTGAAAGCAGCTACTGCTGAGTGAGCTCAGCTCTACTGACTGCCTCCTTCTACCATCTAGTGGCACTTTCACCATACTGCTTTTTTCTCTCCAAAGGATTCAGTGAGAATGATAAGTGTACACTCTTGAAAAGAAAAAAGTACACTTTTGAATGTACCTAGAGAGGAAATACTTTTTTTTTTCTTTTTTTTTTTTCCTGAGATGGAAAAGTAGTTTTCACAGAAACTATTTATGAGAAAATAGAAGAGATTCAGTGGTGTAAAGTACTGATGTCAGAAAAAAATTCTGCATTCTGTGGTCTTGTAACCAGTAAGTTAGATTTGTTGATTGATTTCTTTCTCTTTTTTTTTGGTGGGAGAGCTTGGATTTTAAGTTGTAAGCTGCAGAATGACACTGTCAAATATCCTAAAGAAATGCCTATTTAGAAGCACACTTGGTTTGTTTTCTACCTGGCTATTTAAAGCACACAACAAAAAGTAAAATATATCATCAACTGTAGTGCTTTGAAGGCATATAGAACACGTATAGTTTCTTTCCTGATTACACAATTTTATTAAGAGCTTTCAGTGCTCCATTTTGCAATAGATGTTTCTGTCTCATTTAGGGAAAAAGCTTAAATGTCAATGAACTAGGAATTTAAGGCTTGGGATATTTTTCACCAAAAAGCATGTTCTGATTATTTATATGACTGAACAAACATTAATCATCTCAAATGCTTTCTGCTCTTTGAACTGGGTTGTTTTCACAGAGTGCAGGTACTGGTGAATTAGACTACATATGAAATCAATTTTTTTTTCAAATTCCATAAAAAAGGCATATTTCTTCCTTTCCACTTACAGCAAATTGACACGGCAAACTGACAGCAGTCAGAGCGTAGAATATGAGAATCCAGGATTTTTTTTCCCTTTTCTTTTAAAACCTGTGTTATTCTGTATCCTAATCACCTTGACAAGTTTTCAACCTGTTTGCAGGGTGGGAAGATCCCCATCAGGTGGACTGCTCCCGAAGCCATCGCCTACCGCAAGTTCTCCTCAGCCAGCGATGCCTGGAGCTATGGAATTGTCATGTGGGAGGTGATGTCCTACGGAGAGAGACCCTACTGGGAGATGTCCAACCAGGATGTGAGTGCTTCCCAGGATTCATCTGCATTTTTTCAAATGTGCTTTACAAGTTATTGGCACTCCCTGCCCTGCTTTGCTGTCTCGTTCTCTTTCTAGGCTGGAATCTCAATTTAAAAAAAAAAAAAAAAACAAAACAAATTTTCTTCTAGTATAATTGAAAGCTTGTTCTAGAAAGAGAAACATGGGAAAGTGGAAATTGTAGGGTTTTCTTTTCTACCACAATTTAAATTTTCACAAATTCTCTTGTTTGATGGATCCCTGTGACAGCTCAAACTGGTACACTCAGTCTTCACATCAGCCATCAAGTTCTGTGTCAAAATGTGGAATATCAGCCAAGCCACCTTAACCTCTCTCATATATGTGCCTAGAATATTCCTGCATTGATTCTGAAGAATTGACAAGACTTTCCCAGATGGCTGTTTTTACATTGTTGCTAAGTTATTCAGCTGTTCAAGTCTGGTTGATTGTTGAGGCTGATCGGTCATTTGGGGATAAGGATCTGAGATTTAAATTTTAAAAAATAATTTCGCTGTTTCAGGAAGAAAAGGAAAGAAAAAACCAAACCTGTCAGAAACCAAAAAAAAAAAAAATTACTATCACAAACCTCTCCATTTAGAGTATATCAAATACTCAGCTACAGCATGAAGATAGCAATGTTTAAATACTCTTACATCCAAAATAAAAATGTCTGTAAATACAAAATGATGCTGCAGGCCCTAATGATGCCAGTTGCTGGGGGCTTTCCCTGCAGTACAGCAGTTCCCAGCACAAAGGACTCCTTTTCTCCTACCCAGAGGATTTCAGTGCCAGAATGTGAGCAGTGAGCATCTGTGACCTTCTACATATGTTTAGTGACTTCAAGTGTCATTGGGAAATTTCGAGTTATTAGACATAATGCAAAGTTTATTTTACTGGATATTGGAAATACAGTAAACTGCCCTGAATTCTCATGGGCTTGTTTTGCAGAAATAATAGGACTTTCAAAGGTCAGTGGTACTGTACAGATGGCAGAGAAAGCAGCAGAGAGGGATGTGCATTAAACAGATTCAAAAAAGGATGCAAACAACAGTTAATAAGGGCTTGCATGGGTATAGTCAGAGGCTCTGCTACATCAGAATGTCTGCTGACATTACCATTAAGACACTTACTGAGTTTTGATCATAATTAAGCCCTTCTCTAGATAGCAATTAAAATATTTCTTGAATTGAGTGGATTTTGGTAGATCACCATAAGTTTTCCAAGTATAAACTCTGCAAAGCCGGGTTTGGTTTGGGTTTTTTTTTCTCATTCCATCTTACCAATTGCTTTTCTAATTCTACAGCTTTGGGATATGAACTCACTTTTTTAGACCATGGCTAAGTAAGTGGTGAACACAGCTGATGAGAGAAGTTTTAAACTGGTAGGTGCCACCTAAATTAACCCAGTCTGGTGTTCAGAGACTACAGCTGCTCACAGGTATCCAGAATGACTCAACACCTCTGCAAATCCAGCATCCTCTGTTTATATTCCCCAGCAAGGATTTGGAAGCTGAACTTAAGGAAACCGAGTTACAAAATGCTTCTCATAAAATTAATACTGTACATATAATAAATTTAAGCCTCTGCATAATGCAGAGGCTTAAAAATGTTGCTAAGCTTGAGAATTGCTTTTGTGTAAGTAAATAACCATTTTATTATTGTGGTAAGTCACTTCCAAACTGTGTTGGTGCTGATTAATGCACTTCTTAGATGTGTGGCAGGCACCAGAGGTGTCCATTAATTAGGGCTGCTGCACAGTCTGTCGTGTCTTATTGCTTAATTAATAAACATTAGCCAAGATATTGAACTTTCCAAGGAAACTAGTGTACTGATGAACAGATTGTGCTAAGAGTCTGGCTTGCTAATGTTCATGTGAGGCAAGGAAGATTTATATTCCATGCATTTGGTTTGTAGAACAGCTGTGAGTGAAGTCTACTGGGACACCTGTTAGAGGCCACCGTGTAAATTAATGCATGTTGCAGAGCTGCAGTACTCAAAAAGAAGGAAAAAAAATGAAAAGAATATTTAATGGGTTGTAATTGGTATTCAAGGAAACTATTGTAGCAAACAGAATAAAACTCCTTACGCTCCTGAAAGTTTCTTGCAATACTGAAAAAAAAAACAACTTATCCTAATATAGCTCTTTCAGCTCACAGATATCAAAACCCTTGGCAGGTGCCTGGGATTGGCTCTGTACCATGAGGCAGCAGCAGCTGCCTCTCCCTCCTGGTAGATTTTTCAGATGTCAGGAGGACACAGGGACAATGTCCCTCTGGACTCTCTTCTGTCTCAGTCTCATTAAAAAAGCTGTCAGTTAACTTTTGAAAGCAAGAATCTCTGTTACTATTAATAATGAAACCATCAGGAAGATTACAGCTTCATTTTCAGATGGCATTTTTGCCAGTTGCCAATTATTTTGAAATTGCACATGTATCAATTTTGTGTAGAAGTCCATAAAATACTGCTCAGACAATCTTAACCAATATTAACTCTGTTAATATTCAAACTTCACAGCTGTGTCTAACATCAAGCAAGCTGTTGCTGTACCCTTCCTGTAGATGCAGATTTCATGACTATTGTGGTGCTTTGTCAGCCTTAAACTGACAAGGGAAAAAGGCATTTGAGAGGAGTTAACATGCAAAATCTTTAAATGTTTTATAATATACAACTTTACATTACTAAGAAAAACTTAATACTTCTTCCCTTTTAGGTACATGGATATCTGATTTCTCTGAACAGAGAGAGATGGGTGCTATGTACATGGCAGAGTAAGAGCTAAAACAAATATATAAATAAATGAGGAACCAAAATGCTCTAATTCTTCCTTTGAGACTTGATTCCCATTGCAGTATTAGACACTTATCACATCTTTACTCTTGCTCCTTAGAATCTAAAAATAATACTTGCCTCACAAGGGATACTAATGAGGCAATATTTCCAGTTTATTTTTTAAATGTGCTGGTATTAATGAGAAATTATAATTATCGCAGTACCAGCTGGCATTTCTCTTCATACTGAAATGTTCCTTTTGAACAAGAGAGGGAAAAAAATGCACTGTGATTTCATTTTCAGAGATATGTTAAAATAAAGTGTGGCAGAGAAAATATATCTGGAAAATGATGGTTGCTTTTGGGTTTTTCCTGAATAAATTACTTCAGCAAAACCTCATCAGCCCTCTATTGTTGTGTTGAGCAAATGCTATATGTCTCTGAAAAGTAGAGCAGCTTTCCTGTTGTCTTAAAAACAAAATACATTTCATAAATTGCACATTTGCAACAGGCACAGTTAAATGTAAAAAATTTCAGTATCTGCATTTCTGGGCTGCTAAGGATGGCCAGTACCAACTAATCTCTGCCCCTCTCTGTCAGGAGTGTTTTATGAACCCACTTCTGACAAACTGCTTGAGATACACTAACAATAAATGGAAAAACAAATATGAATACAATTCCATGCACGTGGTTGAGTTTTGCCCATCCTGAGTCCATGGGGGCATTTTTATCACTGGGAGGAAAGGTTCTGAAGGAAATATTTCCCTGGCAATGGGAAGGTGGTATTTTTTTCCTGTAACAGCAGCATGTACATTACAGGACCAGGTCACCTGTTTATAAAACAGACAAGCAGCTGTGAGCAGCTACAAAAGGCTCGTTCCATTTCCTGCCATGCCATCGAGGGCAGCTCAGGTCCTAACGTGGCATCCTTACTCTTATTTTATTTACATAATGCTTGCAGCATAAGCATTAGGCATTGCTGAGCAGAGCCAGCATTAATTCAGAATTCACATGGAGAACGGGGATATATTCCAGGATAATAAGATTGAATATATTGAAGCCAGAGCTGGTGCTGTAAAACATTGATTTGCTGTAAACAGTTTAATGTAGCCCCTTCCAGCTGCATTAATGTGTCTGCAGCATGTATGTACATCTGTGTGAAAATGATGAATGTCTCCTTGCAGCACAGTGGCTATCAGTGCAGCAGGTACGTTCCTCCTAAGTGCACTGTGTGCTTATAAATACTGTGTGCAATCATTTGGACGTCAGCAAACATTTAGCATTGGCTGGATTTTTACGTGGGAGGGTTATGCATGTGTGGTAAGGCTGGTCTTTTTCCTAGCTTCGTTTTTGATCAGCCACTGACTAGTTTTGCATTCCTTTTTGCAGAAAAAATAATCCTTACTGTAATTTGTAACATCATCCCCACTGCTACCACCTTGCAGAGCCTCCTGACCTTCCCTTGTGTTTTTAAACCTTACATAGGATGAGTCCATGTAAGCTGTTATGAATCCATGAAGTTTTTAAGGGAACTGACCTAGTTTTGCTAACTCCTGTCAAGCCAGGCTGCTACTCTTTTTTTCAATCAATGTTTTTTGCTACCTTTGTTACTAGAAATAAGCTTTCCTTCGACTTGGATCAACATGTGATTTACATGATTTTCACACATGTGATTTACCTGCAGCAGCAGACCTGTTTCTCTCTGAATCTTTACCAAACACATTTTCTGTGTCTGCTGAATCTGAAGGTTCATTCACTTTAGGGTAATACAGTAATTTTATTAACTTTTGTTTAGTCACAAACATCTCAGACATCCAGGTTTCTGAGGGAGACTGTGCAAAATAACATTGCTGTAACTTGGTGTGGGGGACATTGCCAGAAGTAATCATACTCTGAGGATCAGCAGAAATATGTGAATACCAAGTAAATTATCAGGTGCCACAATGTGTATTTGTGGTGCTTGACTGTATTGGGGTGTTGCTGCACACAAACACTGTGTCAAAATGCAAATATTAGAGCATGGTGGGATGCAGTGGCCACACCAAGTAAGTTTGTGGCCCCCTGAAGTGAAAAATGATGGTGGTATTGCTGAATTCTTTATTCCCCTCTTGTTTTCTTAGCTGTTTGAAGAGGATGACCAGTGACCCAAAAAAAGTTCCTACTGTGTTTCATATGCCTACAAAATATTTCCTGTCTCCTCTGGTCACGCCCCTGCCAGTCTTGATTCCCTGAGTGAAGCCCCAGCAATGCATAAAGTGAGGGTGGCTGTGCCATGGATAATTTATCATCCCTGGTTTCTAATTGTCAGTGTCACACTGTCCTTTCAGCACTTCATGCCTGGTAACCATACAGACTGTATTTCTGTAGGTTATACTGTCCATTGAAGAGGGCTACAGGCTTCCAGCTCCCATGGGCTGCCCAGCTTCTCTTCACCAGCTCATGCTTCACTGCTGGCAGAAGGAGAGGAACCACCGTCCCAAATTCAGTGACATTGTCAGCTTCCTGGACAAGCTGATCCGCAACCCCAGCACCCTTCACACCCTAGTGGAGGATGTACTTGTGTAAGACTCTTTTTGGTACATTTTGTTTTGTCATAACGCATAGTGGCTATCATTTTGTGGTTTAGGGTATTAAGTATGGGTGGAAGAACCACAAAGTTCTGAGTTCATGAAGTTACGCAGGTTCAAATAATTTTAAGCCCCTCTTAAGGTTTGCTTTATTGTTAATACACTATTGTATAAGAAAGTTGTTTGGTTTTTTTTTTTTTCCTCAAGCCATGCAGATTATATTAGGCTTTTTTAGTATTATTTTTATCTGAATTCTGTTTGTGCACTATCTATCCTTAATCTTTGTGAATCTCTTTGTTCTTTTGTGTGTGTGTGTGTGTGTGTGTTTTTTCAATGTGCTTGTTTTCTCTTTGTAATTTTTTTTTCCATTCAGCAGCCTGTCTCTCCATCTGACAGTGCTCAAGCAATTTGTGAACTGCCTTGGAATAATATCCTGCAGAAAGTAGTGTGTCTTGGCTTGCTAAATCTTTATTTGTCTGCAGCAGAATGACAGCAGTGACCAAATAACAGACTATGATGTTACCATCCCACAACAAATTCTTGATAGTGTTGCCCGGGTTGTGGGTATTTTTCATTAATAATATTTCAGAAATGAATGCAGCCACAGGATAAGCAAGGCTGAGGTGGAAGAATTTGTCAGTATTTGTAGGCTTATTGATCCAAGCTGTCCCTGCATATATCAGCTGAAATCAGCCAAGGTCCAGGTGGCCTCACTCTTCAGTCACTAAGAATCACTTTAAGATAAAGATGCTTTCATGGAGACCCCGTGGGCTTTTAAGGGGTTCTCAGCCCTGAGTGGGGCTTGCTGAGAACCTTTAAATGCTTTTGACAAGGGCTGAGCAACAATGCAAAACTGGGGCTGGTACCTTGCTGTGGGAAAGGCTGAATGGAGAAGTTGGTAGGAAAACCTGGAGTGAGGGTTACAGCCATTTCATCAACACAGACTAGGAAGACTTGTGGGATTAAATATCCATGCCCTAGAGTTAGTGTCCTCTATGTATGTATGCAGATAGATAGATAGATAGATAGATAGATAACTTCTGTTTGTGCCTGGATCACTTTCTTTAGCATCAGAGTGATGTATTTTTATCTCTTTTTATTTAAATCATAACTTAGGGTCTAAAAAATTTATGCTTTATTGAACTATGACTGACATCAACTGCTTGTGAAAGTTTTTTTCCATTCATTTGAGAATGTTGGAGGCAGTTGTTGGGTAACTTTCTATAGAATCATAGAGTAATTCAGATGGGAAGGGACCGTGGTAGGTCTTTAATTACAGTTTGTACTTAATAGTGTTCTCCTGTCCTTCAGCTTCTCCCTCTATCATTTTGATAATATGAATGAAAATCACTGTACTTACTCTTATCTGAGTATGTGTGGGTGAAACTTGGTTCATTAAGATATGAGGCTGTGTTGCTTTTCTTACATTACACATGAAGTCATGTTCCATCAGTAAATGTTGGCTGGCTTTTGCTGTCTAAATTTTCATTTACAATAAATTGTGTCTTTCTCCAAAAGACTATCATAAAGCTTTTACAAACAGCAGTGTGCATTTTCTGCATTTTGTTCATACAATTTCTCTACACAAAATGCATAAAGCCAGTGGAAGTTGTGAGCCCTCCCAAATGTGGCACACAACAGAAAACTGGAAATCAATGCCCCAAAACTGCAATTTGTTTTTTGGGTTTTTTCCATCTTTCTGTTTCAGTTGTGATAATATTAGGGGAAAGAACTCAAAAAGAAATGTGACTAAATTAGCTCCTTCCATTTTATTTGCTAGTCTGTGTAATTCTATGTAAAATCAAAGATATGACATTTTTTTCTTTTTGCTTCTTTTAGGGTGAGCTTTAGCTTTTGAGTACTGTAATCAAAGTATTCCTGTAGCATAATGGTATCACAATGAGGAGCCATCTGGGGTGGGGTGGTTGTAGGTAAATGTAAAAATCATCTCATGGTGGTTTAATTTTTTTAATTGCATCTTATGCTGCATTTTCATTGTCCTCTACATTGACTACTGTAACAAAAAATTATTATAATCCTGAACATGTCGATCTCCAAGGAAACATTCTGGAGAACAAAAAGAAGTTCAGTGAGAGAGGCCTTTTCCTCTGTGTGTTACTGAGCTGCAGTTCTTTAATAAAATGTATTGTTTAAGTAGTGCAGCTTGGCAGACTGAAGTGATTTATGTGTTTTAGACAAGGGGTTAAAGACATCCTCAGTTAAGGTCTGACCTTTACAGCTCAGACTCCTTTCTCATTCCTTCTGCCTTTTAGTAGAAGCTATGTCTACCAGGGTAAATTGGGTGTCATATTTTGTATTGCTTGGTAACCTTTGCTTTCTTTTTTTTTCTCTTTTTTTTTTTTTTTTTTTTTTTTTTTTTTTTTTTTTTTTTTCTGTTTTGTTTGTTTTTGGGTTTTTTGGGGTTTTTTTGTGGTTTTTTTTTGTTTGTTTGGTTGGTTGTTTTGTTGTTTGGTTTTTTTTTTTTTTTTGTTTACAGAATGCCAGATTCACCTGGTGAAGTTCCAGAATATCCTTTGTTTGTTTCAGTCAGTGACTGGCTGGATTCCATAAAAATGGGTCAGTATAAAAATAACTTCATGGCAGCAGGTTTCACAACTTTGGACATGGTTTCAAGAATGAATATTGAGTAAGTATATAATCTATTATCCCTACAGTGACTAATTAATCTGAATTTGGATGCTGCAGATACACAAATATTGTGGAGTATGGAACAGTGCTTTCATTTCCTTTCCTTCCTCAGCTCACAAAACTGAGCTAATACAGTTAATTAGCAAAAACCACAAGAAATTTATGATGGAGAGACCCAGAATTGATAGATCCACTCTGTGACCACACCAAAAACAACCAAAGGCCAGGGATGAGCGTGTTTCTTGGGGAATCAGTTTTGATCTAGACCACTGAAATCAAAAATAGTGGCAAAAATATTTTCTTGCTTTACTATGAATATCATCAAGACTTTATCAGTCCTAATAATGAAGTTCCAACCATCTCTGACACCACCCTGTGGGTTTTTAATGCAAACCCTGCACTCAATACAGAAGTGTTTGGGCCAAATATGGATTCATATGGTAGCCTGATGATGGGATCTGTTTTGCTTTCTATTCCCTTCCCATGAATTCCCAATCTTTTATTGGATGCTGGGACTGCCTGTATTAATGGTAGTTGTCAGTTAAGATTGAAGAATTTTACATGTAAAGTTGGACTGATTTTCTCCCACGTGCATCATTTCATATTCACCTACAATGAATTCCATCTACCACATTATGGCATAGTCACAGTCTTGTGAGATCCTTCCCAAACTCTGCACGGCTGCCCCTTTCCCTTCCTACCCTGAACAATTCAGCCTCACCAGCTGAGTGGTTCACCTCTTGCTCACCTATTTTCCCAGACCATTTACTGATTTGTTGAACAATAATGTTCAACATTCTCCCAGCAGAGGTCCCTGCAGATTTGTATCAATAACTGCATTGTAAAACCTGACCATTTACTGCTAAGCTCCTGTATTTAAACAGTTATTTAATCATGCAAAGACCACACTATGCTACATATTATGTTATACCCTATATTACACAGAAGTTGCTCCTCATTTTCATTATAAAGCTTTTGTGAGGAATCTTCTGTAAAGCTTTTGGAAATCCAAGTGAGGTGTATCAAATGGATCATCTCCATCCACTGGAAACAAGTAATTTAATAAAACAGAACTTTTAGTTGCAAAAGCCATGGTGACTCAAGCAGCTCATTTATCCAAGCAGTAATTTTGTACTTTCCTGTAATTTCTCTTATGCTCTGTAATGATCACAGACTCATGGGTCTGTGGTTCCCAGATCTTCCCTGGAAACATTTTGTCTGGCACCATGCTCCATTCTTCAGGCATCAAAAAATTTTTAACATGTGGAGCACAGCTGGTAACTCCCTCTCTCACAGCCCTGATAGTAAGTCCATTATTTCATCTTCACTTTCTTTTGGAACTTTTGCCTAAATATTATCTTCTCTGGACATGGGTTGTTGCTTGTCTTTCAGTTTTTCCTATAACCTCTCCTGCAGTCACTTCAGAGATACTCTGGCAAGTCCCCCAGAAAGGATCTGCATGGGAGTAATTTCAATTTCTTCCACAGTGAATGTCAACTCAAATGGTTAAGCCTTCCAACAATGGCCACTCCTTCAGTGCTCTTTTATGCCCAAATCGTCGTTAGACTCTACACATTTTATGGCAGGTTTCTTGTACCCAGTGAGTTTGCAAAAAGATTTATTACAAAAGTTTCAGGGTTTTTTATTTTATTGTTGGGCTTTTTTTTCTGTTTGCTCCTCAAGTTCCTTTTTAGTCTGCCTTACTGTGTGTTTACAGCTAATCTAAGGTTATTATCCTTTCTACTTTCTTTAGATACCATTCAACTTTTTGAAGAATTCCCTCTTTCTTCAAATAATTTGTGTTACATAAGTCCTGCTGGCTTCTTTTTGTGCTTTATCAGGCCTTCCTTGATAATTGCTAAGCATTGGTCTTGCATTTCTAAGACCACTCTCCACTGTGAAGCTTTATTCTTTACACTGACTCCTTTTAGCTTCTCAATATTTTGCTGACCTCAAGTGTTGTCTGTCATGCCCCATGAGAATGTTAAGCCTAAGCACATAATAGTTGCAAGCTCTGCAGTGGTTCCTCAGCTGGAGGATACCAATCTGGAGATCAGATGCAGATACCTGGAACTGCACATCTGAAACTCATGAAGGCCATGCCTTATCCCATGAGCTCCTTTACTGGTTGTATCATCATATAGTTTTTGAGCATAAATAGGCAATATCTGTGTATGTCCCAGTGTGGGATTTGCATAATTGACAAATCTGGCATATCTGAAGTTTCCTGTCCTCAGCGCCTCTGTGATCTTTCTTAGATCTTGCAGCTGGGGATGTTTATAGAAAAACTAAGTTGGTGGATTGTGCTGAACTCTGGTGGCTGTTGACTTCATGCCTGCCAAAGAGTCAAGCCCTGTGGGTGACAAAAGTTACCCACTCTGGGGTGCAGGGCTAGATGAGATGAAGGGGAACTGGGAGGGAAATCAGGGTCAGTCTGGACGATTCACTGCTAATTTAATCTTTAGACCATCTCTCACTACCTCACTGCCATTCCCCAAATCATCAGAAGCACCACCTCTGTTATTTCTGCCTCAGAACTGTGATACTGTGTGTGTAAGCCCCAATCCTTTTCAAGTATGAGCAGGAAACAATTGCTACAATCACATTACTAAAAATGGGCTATTAGAACTCACCTCTCTGAACAAACCTCTCTGAGATTTGGAGAGATTAATTGACCATTAGTATCACTAATAAGCCCCACTATCACTAATTTAGAGCACTAAGCCCCTGTGCTCTAAATACATCTTTTTATTATATTCTGTTTCTGAAATTACTTTTTTTTTCCAAAAATTGAAATTGACAGATGCAGAAAAATTGAACATTTGCAGCTTTCTTATATGCCGTGGCCAGGAAGGTAAACTGTCCTGGAGAAGAAGTCATCATATATTTATATTCTTTTGTGCACCAGGGGCTTTATTATATTTGCATCCAAGATGAAACTTTTTATCTTGCAGTGACATTAGAAGAATTGGAGTTGCACTCATTGGACACCAGAGACGAATAGTCAGCAGTTTACAGACTTTGCGGTTGCACATGATGCACATACAGGAGAAAGGATTTCATGTATGAAAGTAATAGAAGCAACTGTGTTTTGTGCCTCAGCATTTCTAAAATGGAAAAATATTCTCATTCTTCCCTCCTGCTCTTCCCAACTTCAAGAACTGCAGTCTCCAGTTCAGACTATACAAGTACTTCTATGTTAATGCTTCCAAACTGGAATTTTTAATCACACTGCACAGCTCCTCCACCAGTTCTCTGCCGATAAAATCCTGGCCTACTGCAAGACTCTTGCTACACATTGATGAATAACTCAGCATGGATGTGTAACTTTGTATAACAGTATTTGGGAAACTTTCATGGACTTACTTGAAAGTAGTAATCTATTTGGCCTGGTGTGGCTTCTTTATCGATGTATTTAGAATTTGCTGGTAGATCAAAAAGTATTTGACTTCTTTCATGTTCTGTGACCATGTAACTTCCAACACCAAATGTGCAATCAAAAAGAAGTTTAACATAAATATTTATTTTCTCTCTTAATTAAATCCAAAAGTATGTGTCCTATCATTACATTACTTTCTAATAGTTTGAATGCTGGTAAGCTGGTGCCTCAAAACATTAGTATTGTTTGCAGAAATGACTGATGATTTTATGTAGTGAGTTTTCATTGTGTGAATAATTGGAAGCATAGTGAGAGTAATCTGTTTGAAATCTTAAGGAAGGTTCTTGATTTTCAATTACTTTAGCACTTGACACTTTTTATGCTTTAAATTTTAGATGAGGTTGGAAAATTTGTTTATCCTTGGGATTCCTCATCACCCTACAACCCTTTTTTTTTTTTCATGTAATACTCAGCATTTGCTTCTACTACTGGAAAACTTGTTGTAATGTTCCCATGACCACATGTAAAACACGGTTGTCAGCTCTGTCAGCTCACACAGATTTCAGAAGAGCCTTCTGTTTCAAACATGCAGGTCTCTGCTGTTGGACAGGCAATCATCTCCAGCAGCAGCAGCAGAGCTCAGAGGGCCAGCCACGGGTGGGGTGATGGGGTCATTCCCGTGGGAACAGGCCAGCCATATCCTCTTCCAGCCAAGGACAGCAGTACAGCCGCACTGCTGCTGGAAGTTACAGGCTGCAGGATGCAGTGACCTTGCACAAAGGCAGAAAAGGAGATGCAGGACAGCAGTGTGGTAACATGTTGCCTTGAGCCTACTTCTAACTGCTTTTAGAAGTTAAAAAGCAAACTCTGCTGAAATGGAGCTCTGGTCATTCCAGGCCAGATCTTCATTTAGTACAGATCTCTAAAGGACGTCCGAGGTATTACCTTTAGAACCCTTCAATAGCCATATTTACATGCAAGAAAACGTCAGCAAAGGCCTAACATAATATTTGTACCTCTCTAAGACTTCCAGCTTCCATGTTTTGTTCAGACAACTGACACAGACTGTGCTGGGCTACATTTCCAAACTTTTGCATGGGATATGCACTCCTGGGAGCAGGGCAGGAGCACATGGCCGTGCTGTGGGAACCCCACGCAGATCTACAATGCATGTCACATGTAACCCTGTGCAGATGCTTCTCTTCATTCCTGTGTCCTTTGGAGGGTAGTTTTGAGTTCGTGGCATTCCAATGTACTCAAGCATTGCAGCTCTTCTGTTAAAATGTGCATTTGGGTAATTAGTATAATCTATGTGTATATCAAAAGGAACTACTACTTTGTGTAATCATAATGTTATTTACTGCTTCATTTACAGCTTGTAAATCACAAGGTATTTCCTAAGTCTTGGAAAAGGCTGCCATTGTAGATCAGTGACAAAGAATGAAAATCAGAAAGCAGCTCAGAAAAGATTATGCTTCCGACCAGATCACAGAGTAAAACACACGAGGCCTGATTCCCTGTTGTCAATTTATAGTGGAATAATTGCATTAATTTAGGTGGGGTAGCAGTAATGCACTAAGTAAATTTTTCTTTCTTTCTTTCATTAAAAAAAAAGGGCAGCTGTAACTGAGGAAGGAGTTTTCTGAAGATCAGGAGTCACTGGTGTTCTACAATGCCAATTTGATGAGCTTGTTTAAAGAAGGGCAGCTTCAATCCTATTGTAGCTCCAAAGGTAATTTTGTCAGCAGGAGTATTCCCATTGAAGTCATCAGTCCAGCACAAGGATGTGAGTTTTGCAGGATCACAACCCTTCAGTGGGGAAAAAACCATTTCTTCTTTTCTGTGACTGTCACTTGAAAAATTCCGCCTGAATTCCACATCTGAATCATTTTTTTGGTAGAGGTGCTCTTACAGAAAAAAAACCATACTTACCTGAAACCTTTTGAAAAATACTGACACACTACAGAGTAATTTAAAAGTGGATTTTGCTTCATCATTTTATCATCCATTTTGCCTTTCATTGCTTCCATGGCCAACACCAGGACATCTGTGGAATGAGCCTTTCTCACAATTAAATCCATTACTGAGGAGGTATGAGTCTGTTATTTGTTAATGAAGCTTCAAAATCATTCATAGCTGACCCAAACCATTATGTGCACTTTTAGATTGTCTTTTGCCAACTTTTTTCATTCCTGGTAGTGAGGATGCAGAATTGACATAGTTACATGCACACAACCTGGATATATTTAATGAAAATTAATTTCTAAATTTATCACACTACTGAAAATATTTTTCAATAGAAAAAAAAGTATAACAAAAGGAACACATTTATTAATCAGATATATTTTTTATATAAACAAGAGTTTGGGTAACCAGGAAGGAAAGAACAAGGGATTCTTTGAGTGAGCACATTTGTTAATAACATTATAAATCCAGGATTTTGTGGCTTTACACAGTTTTTTTTTTCTGTTGTTGTTGCTGTTGTGGTGCAGTATGACACTTCTTAATAGTTATCTTGATGAAATTTACATTTTCCCCATTTTTGGAAATGTTTTATTTGCTCTTGTGCTGATTTCTAGTCTATTCTTGCTTTAGTTTAGGGATTTTTTTCATATTTTTTTATTTAAAAACAAAACAAAAAACAACCCTAACTGGTGTTATTTTTCAAATGTGAGCTTAATTCTGTACAGGCCACAAATGTATATGTGAAATTAGAGTAACTTTCTTTGTTTGAAAAGAAATTCTTTCTTCAAGAGAAAATTAGTTTTTATTGTCCTGCATACTGCAGTGTGCAGCTGGAGTTTAAATTTGATAAATTAAAGCAAATTTAATAGGCTGGTTTTGAGAATCTGGCCCACATTACAGAGTGCTTTATGACTAAAAGTACCCATTGAAAGTTCACAAAATAAAGTGTCCGACATGCAAGCAACAAAAAAAAAAAAAAAAAGATGTTATAATGTGGATGTGTATAAAGAAATAATTCTTACCTGTTTCTCTGCATTCAGTGATAGCTCATCCATTCAGATATCTGTGCTTGGTCAGATGAATTTCATGCCTTAATTGTATCCAGTCGTTTTGCTGAACCTGTGAAACAGAGAGGGCTCTTGTTCGTGATGTTCATGGTGTTAAAACTGAACAAGGCACAGCAGAAGGTTTAGTGGCATTTACTCATGAGGTGTTTGCACATTGGAATTACTGAGTAACAACGGGAAGCCATGAGGCAAAAGGAAGAGAATTGAACTACGTCATTTAAATTTTTCTCAAACAAAATTTACCCTTTTTGATGCCTGTGAACTTAAATCCAGTCTCTATCCAATGAAAGCTTAGAAACATGCCATGCTTCAGGACATCAGACAGCATAAAGCAGTCCTTTACTTGCAAATAGTGCACTCAACAATAAAACAAATTAGTTAGTAAATTAGTCAAATAAATTTTGTGTCCAATATTCTATTAGGTATTACTTGGATTATTCTGACACAGACCTCATAGACTGCAGTACTTTGATTTTTACATCACTTAAGACTGACAATCCATTTGCCATTTTCAATATGAGCCTAACAGAGGGCTTCATTAATTTCTTTTTCAATGCAGATTCCTACAGGATTCATAAGTAACAAACAGACCCCCTTTATCCAGAATCAGCTGAGATTTACCATCAGGAATAGCTGGGACTGTGGAGGTGCCTAGTGAGACTGCATTACCCACACAATTTCCATGTCAGAATGACCCCATGGGACCACATCAGCCACCAAGGTAAAGCAGCACAGAACATTCTTGACCTTGTATTGAAGAGCAGTTCCTCATTTCCAGCTGGCCCTGTTGTGAACTGCAGCAGTTATTGAACTGTTTTACCTCAGCTGATGGAATGGTGCTGTGGGACACATTCTGGCAGCTCAGAATTCTTTTCCAAACACAGGGCACCTGTAACTACCCCGCCACGGGCTCACTCTGTCTTGGAATATTCCTTCAGAGAGTGAAAAGCAGGACTTGCCTCTAATCCAGTCCAACATTTTTTCAGTTAAAATCGTAATAAAAAATCTGTCTTCCATTGCATCTTCCAGGAAAAGTACTAAAAATAGAGACACTTGTGGCATTTGCACATGCTTGAAGATCTCTGTATTCCATTAAACAGTTTTCTTCCAGAATACCCTTGTTCACCAACTGTAATGAATCTTTCCTGAATAAATGACAAAGATAATTTCTTTTTTATAATAGTCCTATAATTATTTTTTGAGAACGAGGGAAAGATGTGTTGGGCTGGGCTAATTCTTAGTAGGACAACAATCTTGAAATCTCCTGGGGAGACAAATGAATCAGCTCTGAAAAGGAAAAAAAAGCTCCCTAAAACCTACAATAAGGTAAAAAGGGAAGAACTGTCCATACTGTGCCAAGGAGCTCTAACAAAAACCCCAGAGCTGCACAATACAGTGCCAAGTACTTACAGCTGGCAAAATTTTCCACCATCACATCCTATATTTAGTAGTGCACACTGCCCATCCATGAGTGTTGTATATAATTCCTCAGATCATGGACCAGGATATGGTGAACATGTTGTGGTTATAAAATATTTGTCTATATGTACATAAATAATTGTAAATAGAATGTATATCATAATACCAGATTTTTCAAACCTACAGAATTAATTGCCTATTACTAACAACACTAATGGGGTTTATTTGCTTTTAAAAATTTCTGTGGCATGCACTGTGCATGTAGAGTTCTTCCCAAAATTCCTTCGTTTGTTAGCTGGAAATGGACAGCCTCTCTTTTCCTCCACTGGTAGAAAAAACATTTTCAAAGTGGCTCAGAGAAAGCTGCCTGCTCACCCTTCTGCTGCCACCTCACCCAACCCCTTCCTGCTGATTCTCTTCCACTCAGCTAATTACTGCAGAAATTAGTGATCCCAAAGGGGAAGCAAGGTGTCCAACAGAACTAGCAAGATGGAGTCCATGCTATAAAGAGTTTTCAGTTCCTCTGCTGAAATCACTAAAGATGTTTACAGAGTATATAAATTATTTTCTTTTAAATGACCATTTATGGACACCTAGAAGGTTAAAATGAGGGAAATTTTCAAGGGCATATGAGTAGGGATATGCCAACATATAGCATAAAAAGATATGCTGGCTTTTAGAAGGGAAAAACAACAATGGTTGATGAAAAACCTAAGGTTAAAAATGGATTAAAGAATATTTCATATTTTATATGTGAAATAAGGTTAACACCAGTTCAGTGGAATCTATTTGTGTGTATATTTCTTTAAATATCCTGCATGAGTATATCTTACTTTCCTTTCCTGTAAGAGATTTCCCAAGTACCTATCTCTTCCAGAAAGGTTTAGCATATTATCTGATATTTTCATACCTGAATAATTAAACTGGAATAAAAAATGCAAGTTCTGACAGTGAAGATATGGGGAGAACAATAGAATTAAATTAAAAAGATCAGTCTCAAAAGTAATTTAAAGTTTTCACATCTGTTCTACTTTGTTCCTGTCTAAAATTTTTACCTGTATCTATCTGAGAACTTTGACTAGTTCTGCACACATTTCAGTGCCACCTCAGAAACTCCTGAATCTGTAAACAGTTCTGAGTTTGTGCAGCTTAATTCATATAAAAAGGCTGATTTGACATGGGACTTTATACAAGACTAGAGTTAGGTACAATGAAAAATCAAAATCCCTGTAAAATATCTGTAAGACACCACAAGATAAGATGTTTTGCCTTATTATACTAACACCTCTTCATTTCTGACAATTCAGTGAAGAACTGGTCAGCAGCAGCATGTATGTAAAGTGGCAGGTAAGCCAAAACCCTGAGACTGAAAACCCACAAATCAACGAGAAATCCAGGTCCCTGCATTCTGAACCATAGGATGTCAAGGGACTCCGGAGAAAGTAACCTTGAATCTAGAATCTGGAAAATCAGGTTTGGGAGAAATTTGCTTTGGAACCCAAATATTCCTTTCTGCTTGTGGATGATGGAAAAGTGCCCAATGAAACAGTCTAGGGACTATTTTCATAGTACCATCACCACATAATGTTCTGAGTGATAAGAAAGAAAAAAAAATCTATTTTCTGACCTTTCAGGTTCTAGCCCAGGACAAAAAAACCCAGGTACAGTTGCCATAATTGATATTGGAAAGTCCAGCAGACAGAATTCTGAATGACTAAATGTTCTTATAGCTACATACTGACTTTCTTGAGAGGAACCTAAATAAATAATAAAATATAGAAATCTCCAGTTAATATTGGTTTAGAAACCGAGTTTTTAGTTTTCTCTCATTCAGACTGGTTTTTAACTGAAAATTATTAATAGGAAAAATGAAAAGCATAATAGGATTATTATTTTTTCCTGTAAGAAGCTGGGTGCTCTGAGCTGTATAACTTACTATCACAGTCCCTTTGTGTAAAATAGGATTAGCTGAAAAAGACAAAGTGCAGCCAGTGTTCCAAATCTGTAGATTATTTGCCACTAATTATCAATTTGGGAAGTTTCATTTTTGTCTTGGGCGAGTTCTGCTCTACCACACCCGGTATTTCCAAGTCCTGCTGAATGATTTTAATGAATATCTCGATTAATTCCTGGGAGAGTGAGGTGACTGTGAGGAATTAAAAGTTTCTGTGTTAATAGGCAACAGTGTTGCTGTGATCTAAAATAACGAGAGTTTGTTACTGACTTCCATGGCAGTGGGATAAGCCCAATGTCCATATTTTCTGTAGGTAGGCTCCAGCTTTGCAAACAGACTCTCCTTTCCTGCACCCCACTACTGTCATGGTTAATTTCTTGTTAGAGAACCAGCATTTATTGGGACACAAGCTGTCCTGTTGTTCAAATAGATTGCTAAAAGTTTTTGCTGGTTTTAATTGTTTTGTTGAAGCATTTGAGATGTAGGTTGGTCCCTCAGGGCATGATCCAAAGTCAGCTGTATCCATAAGAAAAGGTCAAGTAAGTGAAACAGGTTTTGAATCAAAGGTTTCTACAGATTTTCCTGGAACAGATGGCCTCATTTAATGGGGAGAAGAGAGGGCACTGAGCCTAAAAGATAAGGCTGCTACCTCAGGGATGTGATCAAGTAAGCTGTGGTTGCCTTCCACATGGAAAAGGTAAAATGCAAGGTACAAAAGTTGGGTGCTGCAGTGTTTGTTGTTTTCTCTGGCATGGATGGTCAACTCTGACTTTGGAATTAGTTACCTAAATGACCTACGGATCTAATAAGGTATCTAACAAAAATTGTCTGGCTTTGTGGGGTTTTTTTCCCCAGATAATTTCCCAAACTTCTGGATTTAAATTCAGGATGAAACCACCAGCCCCATCAAACAAACAGAACTTCCAAAACCAATAGGACTTTTCCATCTTTCTTCTTTCCTAAACGTAAATCAGGATGCAATATGATTTCCCTTTCATAATACAGGTTCTAACAGATGATTTGCCTCTTTGAACAAGCTGCTTCATACTCCTGGTGCACTGCAGTCTAAGTTTTCAGATTTGCCAGTTAATGAATGGCACTATAGCAAATAAAATAACAAATGCCATCTTAGTGGTTCCATTTATCGGATTCTTTCATTAATTCTCTATCTGAAGAAAACCATCCCACTCCAAGATTCCTAGTAAGGGAACCTGTGAGCATTTTACAGCTTAATGACAATGATTCCCAATCTGCCTCTCTCTCCCCAAGTAACAGTGAGCTTTGAATTGGCAGTGTATTTTTTTTTCTACCATTTCTTCTGCAGCAATTTCTTCTCCCAACTCTCCTAACTAAGGTTAAGAGGTCTATTTCACACTACAAGTGGGAAAAGTTGTTTCTTTGTTAACTCTGGTGACAGGATTCAGTGTTTGCTGCTCTTACCCATCTGCTTCTGTTGAGGCCAATATCAACATTCTCTGGTGGTATCAGTTACATGACACACAGCGCTGCCGTGAGTGAAAACCCAGAGGCACAAAAAGGGCTCATTCTTCTCTGGTGTGGTATAAACCCTACTGACTTCGGGAACTTCTCTGCACTTCTCAGGATTGCGCCTGCAGTTTAGGAAGGAAAAAAAAAATCTTTAAAAGATCATGTGAAACCCAGTTTACTGAAAGGCAATAGTTTATTTTCTAGCAAAGCAGCATTCATTGATCTAGCTGGAATTAACAGTTTTAATTTTGTCATCACTTTTTAAAAAAAAAAAAAAAACAAACCACTTTGACTTTCAGAAAAAAATACAAATATAATATTTTGCTACCTTCCAAACATTAACTTTGATTTACTTTTGGAAGATAACGTGGTTGGTATGTTTTCTCAGGATAGCCTCTATCTATTTCTGTGTGTTGGTTTTAAATGTATCTGAATTAAAAGGGGTTTTAATCTCTGTCTCTTCTGTGAAATTAGATTGTACAAAACTAAATATGACTGCTCTTCATAGTTTGCTGTTCTAGCATAGCCATAAAATGTATCAATGTATGTGTATATATGAATAAATATTTGATGACAGACACTTTAGATTATATATTTAAGCAGCCATGTCAAAACTTCAGAGGTAGATGGCTTCAAAAGCAATGGTATAGTCATAATACTCGCAAATTATTTTACAAAATCAAACCATGCCCTCAGCACAGATCTTATATCCTTACCAGTAGTCTGAAACCCACCTTTTCTTTAAAGATCCCTGCTAAGGTTTCTTTTGCCATTGCTTCTTTACCCAGGACATATTTGAATAATGACAAGTGCCCGTGGCTCAGTCTTCAGCGCTCATCTCCCAGCAGAGCCACCCTGGAGCTGAGTGCCAGGGGCTCTGAGCTCCACTGGCTCCAGAGCCACTCCTGGGACATGAACATTGCACAGCCAGTGTCCATGCTTCCCCCTGGGACTGCCTCACTCCCCAAAATTAGTTTTCTCCACCTAATACATCTCCCATAGACGTCCCACTGCATTTCCTTTTTGCCTGTTTGTAACGGTACTGTGGGAATATCCATGGGATAAAAAGCTTACCCTACTGATTTGCAGTCCCAAGGGGAATTTACATTAGGCGTGAAGTTGTTATTATTTACTGAGAAGTGGTGTTCTCTTCTTTTCATTATTATTACGATTCTATTCCTATGATACTATGATGTTTCATGTAAATTTTCATGTGCTGGCATGCCTACAAGTTAATAGTGTAATAGAATGCTCAGCTCTCAGCATTAGAGTGTTTTTAAGGTGAATTGCATCACATATGCCATCTCTTTGCAGAAAGAATATGGGGTTTGGCAAAACTACCTGCTGAGCAACATAATGAGATTTTTGTACAAAGTACAAGTTATTGATTATTATTGTATTTTATTTTTCTATGATTTCCTAAGAGGCATTATCAGGTCTTACAGATGGGGTAAGCCTGTTTATTAAGATATTTATTAGCAAATAAAAGTTACAGTACTGGTGGTTATTTTTGAGTCAATGGTGTTTGTTTGGCCTTAAGTTATTAATATGATCCACAGTGAAGCCATACATGATCATGCAAAAAAAATCCCATCTGCTTAACACAGGGTGGTGTACTAATAAAGATGGACTGGCAATACGCTCCAACACTTGAGATGC